TTTTTAAGTTTTTTTTAATTTTAAAACAAAATTACAATACTCATACATATACAATGATACTAAAATAGTCTCACTTTCACTATAAACTTGTAGAAATGTTTGCATATTCAATAACAATGTAACTTTTCAAGAAAATGGTTCTTTTAAGGGGTTTTTTAATTACAGTTGAAAGTATCTTTGTTTTGCTAAATTAAATTATTTGTCTGTTCCCATATCTTAGGCCATTTCTTTACATAAATTCTATACTTTTCGCTTCTTCATTCCTGTGTAAACCCAGGCGTCCAGCAACCTTCCCACTGGAGAGGTTGGGGAAACATGCAAATCCGAAGTTCATTTTTCCTTTTCCCTACCTGACACCCATGTCTCTTATTAATTTGGGAGGTACACATACACCCAAGGAGATGACCTAAGCAAGATATGCAGTGTCTCTATTTTTACCGGCTGTTCTGCTTTCAAGCTTTTTATTTGGGAGGATTGCTATATTTGGAACAGTATGGGCCTCCTCCCACCTAACTCTTTTCATGAGTGTTAAAGTATTAAAAAGATACTGGTCTCTCCCTCTCCCTTCCTGCCTGTGTTTGTGTGTGTGTGTGTGTGTGTGTGTTTTATTTATATATAATATTATATTATAAAATATAAGTAATATAATTAATAAATAATATTATTATATTATATTATATTATATTATATTATATTATATTTATTATATTATATTATATTATATTATATTTATTATATTATATTATATTATATTATATTATATTATATTATATTATATTATATTATATTATATTTATTATATTATATTATATTATATTATATTATATTATATTATATTATATTATATTATATTATATACCTCTCCTGTGTGAGCTGCATTGGCTTCCAGTGGTCTTCCGGGTGCGCTTCAAGGTGTTGGTTACCACCTTTAAAGCGCTCTATGGCATAGGACCTGGGTATTTGCGGGACCGCCTTCTGCCGCCAATAGCCTCCCACCGACCAGTACGCTCCCACAGAGAGGGACTCCTCAGGGAGTCAGCCAGGCAATGTCGGCTGGCGACCCCTAGGGGGAGGGCCTTCTCTGTGGCAGCTCCTGCCCTCTGGAATGATTTGCCCCCGGAGATATGAAGGATATTGGCTCTCCGGGCCTTTCGCCATGCCCTAAAAACTTTTCCATCAAGCAGGGCTGGCGTGAAACCCCCCCCCCTTTTTTTTTTTTTAGCTTTTTAAATTGTCAATGGGTTTTAGTTTGAATGTTTTAAATTTTGGGCCAAAGTCATGTAATTCTTTTAAAAATTTTAAATTTTGTATTGGTATGTGTTTTAGTTATGGCTGTGCACCGCCCTGAGTCCACTAGGAGAAGGGCAGTATACAAATTGAATAAAATAAAATAAAATAAAATAAAATAATAAAATAAAATAAAATAAAATAAAATAAAATAAAATAAAATAAAATATAAATAATAAAAAAATAAATAAATAAATAAATAAATAAATAAATAAATAAATAAATAAATAAATAAATAAATAAATAAATAAATAAATAAATAAATAAATAAATAAATAAATAAATAAATAAATAAATAAATAAATAATATGGCTTTGATATGGAATGTGCCAATCCCTTTGCTATCTCATAGCCAGTGAGGCCCGCAAGAATTTGGGGAGTAGCTAGGAAAAGCACAGAGCATAAAATCAAATAGTAATATTTCTTATTACATCAAGACTTCCTTATTTCATCAAGCCGGCCTGACCTAAATCTTTCCCCTTTTTAAATGGAAATTTTAAATCTGGTTTTAAATTATTGGGGTTTTAAATTTGTTCAGCCAAATTATTTAATTCATTTTAATCTATTTTAAATTTTGTATTTATATGTTTTATTCTATGGCTGCTCACCGCCCTGAGTCCTTTGGGAGTAGGGCGGTATACAAATTCAATAATAAATTAATAAATAATATAAAGGAAAGAAGGGAAGAAACTGCATACACACAGACACACAATTCACTCGCTCATTCCCTGGGCACAAAAAACAAATTTGGAGGTACTTACAAGATTCTCCTTTTCAAGTAGCTGTGTGGTTCAAAACTCAAGGCCTCTATTACCAGCGCCAAGCAGGCAGAATCCAGGAGCAGCACCCACTAATAAAAATGTTCTGGTGCTAGCTGGGTGAATTTACCCAAGATAGGTCCACTGGCCAAGTTAGTTTCAATTCCCTACCTGGATTGCCATATTGTCAGAAGAATAATTTGGGGTTCCAACTTAAGCTGGGCTTGTGCAAGAATAAATAAAAATGAGATCCAGACAGCTGTGAGGAAAGAAGAAATATTTATTGCTACTGTACAAGCAAAAAGTTTGCCTTTAGGGGTAGCTGTAGAGAAATGGGATACAGCAACACAGTTTATATAGGGGTGCTTGTCCTGGGTGTATAAATGTCTATGTGCTGATTCTAGGGTATGTATGTGTTTGTACATATGCCTATGATGTTTATTCTTGTGAACATACAGTTCTACTGAGAAACCTAATTTTATTAACTCTATTTGTGTTTACAGACCTTATCCTTTCATAAGTGGATTAAGTCTGGGAAACATACAGTATGCGGGGGCTTGAGGAAGTTTGAATAAAAGACTGCCTTGTTTGCTATTTTTACTTGATTAACTTAATTTCAGTTTGACTGTCAATTATCTAGTAGAGACACTGATTCTCAGTCCATTGTGGATTCTGTTAATGTTTAAGGAAAGATAGAAACAGTATAAAGAATAAAATATATTTTGATATAAATCTTCCCGCAGTATTTATGACTCGTCTTCAAAGTTACAATTGCTGCTGCCCTCCTGCAGTCATATGATCATTTTTCAGGTGCTTGCCAATTGCAGTGACTCATTTTATGACCATAGTAAAAACTCTCATAAAATTGAATCTATTTAAGACCGTAATGACTTATGACCATCGTTGTGATTGTACATAGAGGCGGACTATCTGTATTACTTTTAAACTTGAGTGTTTATGATCAAGTTATGAACAATGATTTAGAAACCATAACAATGAGTTCACATAATGTTCTAAATCAGAATTGAACATATTGTGATTTAGTGTGGCATGCAAATCATGTCCTTTTTTTTTTTTTTTTTGAAGCAAGGAAATATGAAGCTGCAGATTTTACTTGGAGAAATCAGCTATCTATTATCACCTTTTTCTCCAATAAAACTGCTCTTTCCATATTGTTGTCTTTCTTCCAGATGAATATAATGCCCTGTTATTATTCTGTTGCTCAGAGTAATTGAGCAGTTCTGTAAAGATGTTGAGGCAAAATATGTACATGTTTGGTGAAAGCACTTAATGAAATCAATAAGCTTTGCTCCAACTGTAGATATGATGAAAGACATCCTAGCACATGACCTGGTTGGGCAGTGAGATTTACAGAGTCTTAACCAGAGAATTCCCCCCCCCCATATCTCCCAGGTTCTATATTAAAAATTCTGTTCTGATGACAAATAATTGCATGAAAGATCACTGCATTACAGGACAGGTTTGAAGGCTTTGTATGCATGTAGTAGCCCCTGAATGAATAACTTTATAACACTTTACTTCACTTCTATTACATACCAGTGGTGGGTTGCTCCTGGTTTGGTCTGGTTCTATAGAACCGGTAGTAAAACTGGCGGGAGGCTCCACCCACCCGCCACAACGTCATCATGGGTGATCTGCGCATGCGGTCCCATTGCAAACCGGTAGTAAAGGTAAATACAACCCACTCCTGTTACATATATGTATGTAATATGAAATTAGGAAATAGCATGCTAATAGGAAAAATAGTACTTGCTAAATGCAGTTGGTATCTAATTAGATAATAGAATTTACAAACTAATTTGTTTAAAGAATAGTTCCCTACAAACAACTGAGAAATATTAAGTTGGGGAAAACCAGTTAGTTAAGAAATGCTAAAGTAGCTCTGGGGGAAAACGAATTGTTTCCTAACCTGATAACAGATGATTTGAGTCCTCCAAAGTTTTGGCAGGAAATGTTCTAAAAAAAAGAGAAATAATTTTTTACATGCTCATTTATTTTTATAAAAATAGAGTTCAATTATGTGTGGTGCTATGTATTGTATAAAGAAACGTCAAATAATTACAAAAATGAACGATGAGTAAAACAAACACAGTTTTGGAGCTTCCTGTATCTGAGTGAGAAAATACCATATACTTGCATGTGCATTTTATGCATTTTGTCCCATTGTGCTGTTGTCAGAAACATGGAAATACATAAATTATTTTTCTTTGTAGTGTGCTTATTCATCTTAATTTACTAATTTCTGCCCTCATCACCTGATGCGTAATTTTTAATTCTTATCTCTGTAGCTGGCTCATGTATTTGGATACCTAAAGTAGCTTTCCTCAACTTGGTGTTTACATGACTTTAAATAAAATTGATGTACTCTGAAAGTGTATTTCTATTTCAATAGCTCTAGCATTAATGCTATGCTTACAGTGATAATTATCAAAATATGGTGAGTGAATTACTATTTCCGTTTCAGTGAGGAATTTTGGCACAATTTTGCACAATTTAAAGTGATTATTCCTTTTAACCTTCAGAACCAAATACAAGTAATCCTCAACTTAGAATAGTTCATTTAGTGACTGTTCAAAGTTACAACAGCACTGAAAAAAGTAATTAACGAATGTTAATTACTTAACAAATGTCTCTCTTAGCAATAGAAATTTTGGGCTTAATCGTGGTTGGTTGTAAGTCGAGGACTACCTGTACAAGATGATGCATGGAACATTGATATGCCATTTGCAAAGCAAATCTGAATCATGACCAGTGTCTTTCATAAGATTTCCCACTGCAACAACATCCTTCTCTCTTTAAAAGAATGTTTTTAATAATGTAATATTCAGAGCTGAGTTCTACCTGAGTTCTGCATATCTGTTGTTTCTGCTTTAAATTGAATGTTTGTAAAATAAATAGAAAATATCATAATTTTTGCTCCCAATTGTTCTGCAGGTATCCATAATACTTCGAATAGTTTGTGGTGGTCTAGTATTTGTGTGCAATGCCATAATGTGGACTTCCTTTGCTAAAGCTTTAAGATATTCCTCCTCCTCAGCTACAGTAACTGTAACAACAACAACATCCAACTTCATCTTTTCAGTGAGTATAGTGAGACCATATGATTGATGAAAATCCTAAAAGGGGACCCTCTCTTTTCTTTAAGGCAGAATATCATAGTAGTCTTGCTGTACCACTCATGAGTGTTCTAAATGATCTGCAAGTAGTCCAAAACCAAATAGTTTGTCCAGACTTAGAAAATTCATTTTGGTGTCAAAACCTTCTGGAACTGGAACATTTAACACACTCAGGACTTTGAATGCACAAATAAGGTTTTAGCAAGCCTTATTTGATAGTTGATAATATTGGGTGATTTCTTTTGTTAGTCCCTAGCTATTTTCTAAACAGTATATTTAAATCCTAAACAGTTGCAAGAAAAAGTATGTGAATCCCTTGGTATTACGTGGAGTTTTGCATGAATTGGTCATAAAATGTGCTCTGAACTTCATCTAAGTCACAACAATAGAAAAACACAGTCTGCTTAAAATAATACTACACAAACATTAGATGTTGCCATGGTTTAATTGAACATAACATGTAAACATTCACAGTGCAGGGAGGAAAAAGTATGTGAACCTTTGGACTTAATAACTGGTTGACCCCCTTTGGCAGCAATAACCTCAACCAAAAGTTTCCTGTAGTTGCAGATCAGACCTGCACAACGATCTGGAGTAATTTTGGACCACTCCTCTTCACAAAACTGTTTCAGTGTAGCAATATTCTTGGGATGTCTGGTGTGAATCACTCTCTTAAGGTCATGCCACAGCATTTCAATCGGGTTGAGGTCAGGACTCTGACTGGGCCACTCTAGAAGGCGTATTCTGTGCTGTTGAAGCCATTTTTTTGTTGAATTACTTGTATGCTTTGGGTCATTGTCCTGTTGCATCACCCATCCTCTGCGGAGCTTCAGTTGGCGGACAGATAGTTGTACGTTTTCCTGCAAAATGTCTTGATAAACTCTGGAATTCATTTTCCCATCAATGACAACAATCCGTCTAGGCCCTGAGGCAGCAAAGCAGCCCCAAACCATGATGCTCTCTCCGCCATGTTTTACAGTGGGGATGAGGTTTTGATGTTGGTGTGCTGTGCCTTTTTTTTCTCCACACATAGTGTTGTGTGTTCTTCCCAAACAATTCAATTTTGGTTTCATCTGTCCACAGTATATTTTGCCAGTAGTGCTGTGGAACATCCAGGTGCTCTTTTGCAAACTTCAAATGTGCTGCAATATTTTTTTTTGGACAGCAATGGCTTCCTCCGTGGTGTCCTCCCATGTACTCCATTCTTGTTTAATGTTTTCCTTATTGTATATGTGTTAACAAAAATGTTAGCATGTGCCAGAGATTTCTGTAGGTCTTTAGCTGACACTCTAGGATTCTTCTTTACCTCATGAAGCATTCTGCGCTGTGCTCTTGCAGTCATTTTTACAGGACGACCACGCCTAGGGAGAGTAGCAACAGTGCTAAACTTTCTCCATTTGTAGACAGTCTGTCTTACCGTGGACACATGAACATCAAGGCTTTTGGAGATACTTTTGTAACCCTTTCCAGCTTCATGCAAGTCAACAATTCTTGATCGTAGATCTTCTGAGAGCTCTTTTCTGCGAGGCATGGTTCACATCAGACAGTGCTTCTTGAAACCAGTAAATCCAAAACAGGTGTGTGTTTTTAAAGGGCAGGACAGCTGTCAGCAACACATCCAATATCATCACACTGATTGGAGTCAAGGTTGGCTCACTCCTGGCTCCAATTAGCACTTGGAGAAGTCATTAGGCTAGGGGCTCACATACTTTTTCCTCCCTGCACTGTGAATGTTTACATGTTATGTTCAATTAAACCATGGCAACATCTAATGTTTGTGTAGTATTATTTTAAGCAGACTGTGTTTTTCTATTGTTGTGACTTAAATGAAGTTCAGAGCACATTTTATGACCAATTCATGCAAAACTCCACATAATCCCAAGGGGTTCAAATACTTTTTCTTGCAACTGTAGCCTTTGTTATACATAAAGAACCTTTTCAATATGTTCAAAATACTATTCTTCTGCATATGTCTTAAAGATAATCTATGCATCTTCAGTTTACTGCAGCTGAGAAATTTACGCTCTGATCAGAGTACAATTTTACTATTGATTATTCTTCCTCTTGTCTTACAGGCCTTTTTAGGAAGGTTGTTGTTTGGAGAAATAGATGACCTGTTATGGTGGACTGGAATATCCATTTCTCTCCTTGGACTTCTGTTACTTCACACCACACCATCTCTACTAGAACAGCAAATCTGTCTGAAGAAGAAAAAGAAATAGAATGCAATAGGCTTTTAATACATAATACAGGAAAGGAATAAACAAATAAAACAGAAGTCCAGGTTTGGTGGAAATACAGAATTGCCATGATGTTCTTATAGTAGATATTGTTGTGCTGGATATCAAAATACTTTAATCACACTGAACTCCTGCAAAAAGGACCATAAACAGAATTTTGGAAAAAAGGACAGCCATCAATTATCCGTGACATTTGAGGATATTTGGTGAATAATTATCACACAATTTACCATGACCAATTGGAATAAAAGATCTTTCACAATTCTTAAGAACGATATGGTACTAAATGCAATAGGTTTCCCTTTTTCTATGTTAAGCTGAATAATCACAAAGAGAGAGTAAGAAATAAATTGATTTATTCTTTTCATATTACAAAATTGTACATTGTATGCTGATGGTGTTGACAGTGTGGTATCTATGATAATGCAGATTACCAAAATATATATCAAATACAAAATTTAAAAATATATCAATAAAAATATAAATATGATGACATCAATATGATTAGACATGCTTTGTGAATGCCACCACTTTAATATAATCAACCAACTATGTATGCAACATGGCAATACTTAACAGAAAAATTCCTAACAGAAAAATGGGCTGCTTTTATTCAAAGTCAAAGCTACACATTCAATTAGAACAAAATGCAAAATCAACTGTAAGAATTTAAATTTTGTTCCCAATGTATAATACGAAAATACTCACTCTTCAAAAAAAAAATTCAGTGCAGAAGATGAATTTCAATATAAAAATAAATGTTTCTTTGATAGATAGCTTTATTGATTAGCCTATAGGCCATATCAAAGCACAAGGTTCAAACACATATCACCAATAAAATCATATACCAATTTAAATTTAAATTTAAAATAAGAGTAGGGTAAAATACAATAGTTATAGGATAAGATATAATATAATTTAATACATAAATATGTAAAATAGTATAAAATTACATAAAATTACATTTCGGTGTCACCCTTACAATCTACCCCAATCAGTCCCACATATGCAAATCTCAACTGAACCATTTTGTTTTAAGTACTGTGCTGTGTTAAATGTTATTTTAAGGTTCTGGCCACACATAAAGTAAGTTGTTTTGATATGGGGATCCCAATGGGTCATTCGTTTGGTATATAGACCAAGGTACTTGTCTCTCACCCCCTTATACAAGTAACAATCAAATAGGATGTGAGCCAGGTCTTCTACCTCTGCTACTCTGCAAATGCAGAGACGTTCATTGTAGGGTATAGAATGGAATCTCTCATATCTCACCATTGTGTCAAGCTGTTTGAATTTCACTCGCATAAATATCTCCCTAAGATGTTTTGGCAGTTGTAACTCAAATAGCTGTCTATTTGAAAAGTATGCTTGTATTTGCTCAGCCATTTGAAGTTACGTACCTTACTAAGGATAGCTATATCATTTTGTGCTTCTATATCCTTAATTCTTTGGGCAGCTCTTTTTTTTAACTGTTCTCCTGTTACGCAAGAGACAGGAAGGCCACAGCTTCTTACAAAATTTGTTAGTTTGGTGATCCAGGAGATTTGTGATTGTAATTTTATTTGCTCTAGTAGACATAACTTGGGGAGTCTATCAGTTTCCACTTCATTGACTTTGCACCAATAGTTATATGCTCTAATTTTGGATAGTGCATGAATTGTATGAATTCTCAAATTCAGCTCTAACTGCTGCAGCAGATGTTCTTAGATCTACACCCAAAATACGTCTCAAATGCTAGGACTGTGTTTGTTCTAGGACTGTGGTTGAGTATAGACCCCAAACCTCTGCTCCGTACAAGAGCATAGTAACCTTAACTGTATATACTTTAATTAATGGGGCTAGGGACCCTGGGTAACTATGGTTCTTTAGTATAAGCAGTAAATTCAAATGGGCTTTTGCTCTAAGTATACTCCATTTATGTTGGCAAGCCCAAGATCCAGTTGTAGAAAAGATTACGCCTAATTGAAGTGTTCATCTGTTCAATTGGTTCACTGTCTAATTGCCACCTATGTCTCTGATGATGTTTTCCAAACACCATTATTTTCTATTTAGATTTACTAATGATTAGGGAGTTATCCTGGCAATAAGAGCTGAATCTTCTTAATAGCTTTCGTAATCCTACTAATGAATTGATAATAAAATCATATCAGCATAAAGCAAGCTGTTACAATAAGTATTTAGGATCATTGCCATGTGTACCAAGGAATCCTTCATTAACCCTGGCAAGTCATTGATATATAAACTAAATAATAAAACACCCTTGCCATATCCCTTTATTTGTGTGAATCCTGTTAATCAGAGTCCCATTAACCCCATACCACACCCTCAAACAGGTACTTGTGTAAAGGGCTTTAATCAAAGCCAGCAGTCTAGGTTCTATTTTAAGAGATGTCCGTTTTTTTCCATAGTACTTCTCTGTTTACCATATCAAATGCTGCTGTAAGGTCTATAAAAACAGTAAACGGGTCTCCTCTTATAGGCATATTTGCAATTAGATGGTTCAAGACAATGCAGTTATCAATAGTGGATCGGTTTTATCTAAAACCTGCTTGTTCTTCTGTGAGGATATTGTTTTCCTCTACACAGATTTCGATTCTGTTCAAAAGGAACCTAGCATATATTTTTGCTGCAATGTCAATCAGGCTAATGGACCCATAATTACTAGGATCCTTTTTATTTCCTTTTATATATATATAGGGACAATTATTGCCATCTTCCACCCATCTGTTATATGGCAAATGTTATTTATATGTGTAAAAAGACCTGCCAATACTGGACCCCACCAGTTGGAAAATTTCTTGAATAATTCTGCTGGTAAAAAATCCTCACCTGGGGCTTTATTGCTCTTTAAGCTTTTAATGATGGATTGTATCTCCTTTTCAGAGACTGGGGGGGGGGGGAGTTCTAGGGTTTACTAGATCACTGCGTAAAGACAGTTTCTCTGCAGATTCCGTGGAAGCAAACGAACACTGATAATAATTCTCCCAATCCTCAGCAGAAATTGGTGTGTCAAATGCAAATCTCCATTCCTTCAGGACACCTGCTACAGAGTGCCAAAATATTACTGAGTTATGACTTCTGGCAGCCAACTCAAGTTCTGACCAGATTGAAATGACAAAACTTTTTTTCTTTAATGTTATGATTTTTTTTATATTCCCTTGTGTGCAACATCTCAGCTTGTATATGAGCAGTAGGATTCCTCTGGGTGAGCCTCATGGCTGCCTTCAATTTCTTTTTCAGTTGCTGGCATTAAGGATGAAACCAGGATCTACCGACTCAGGTTCTTTTTGTAGCAGGTTTAGTTGTTAGGTGTTTCTTCAGAATATTACAGAGATTAGAGAATGCATTGAAGGCTGACAGCCAGTCAGTAGATGACTGGATTGTTCTACCCCACTTAATAGCATTCTCTGTTTTAAGGCAGTCTGATATTGCCTTAGTATCAACTTTGGCCCAAATTAACCTTTTATTTTGGGTCACTTCTACCTTTTTGGTGAGCCATCTGTTAGCCATGTTATATGATCTTCGATCTGAGCAGCCTCGCAATGTCACACTTACAGGCTGATGATTGCTATTGTCGCTAAGGTGTACTGTGACCTCCGAAAAGCGGTCAACTTTATCTAGACACACAAAAGAGATCCAGTACACTGCTTGATTTGGCCAAGTGGTATGTGTAAGGATATGTGTAAGTCTTATCCTTACCACCCAGAATTTGGAGATTACCCTTAAAAATTAAGGAGATTAGGAGCAGGCCAGTAGCATTACTTTTACGGTCTCGAGAGCCACAGGATGGTTATCAAAAAACTCCCCTGGGATTCCCTTCTTCTGGGCGAGCTCATACAAAGGGACCCAATCTAGCATTCAAATCTCCTAGTAATACCACTATGGGCTGAGGGTACCATACAGATATATCTAGGATAACTTCCAAGCCCATCCAGTATTCAGAGTTATAATACTCGGATGTGTTTGGAAGGATATACACATTTACCAGTATTAACTTGTACTCTTCATATCCAAATTTAACAGCTAGGAAGTATGAATATTGTCTTTGTTGTATAGTTTCTCCCCCTGCCATTGAAACTCTTGCTTTATAAGAATGCATAGCCCACCAGAGGGTGTCCCTTTGTATTTCTTTTATTTTTGGGCTGGGGACACCCTGAAAGCCTGGCAGTTGTACTGGTTCGTCCACTTTGGTTAACCAGGTTTCTTGAATGGCTATTACATCAAATCTAGGGAGAAAGCTCATTAGTCCACTATCAACCATCCTTTTCCAGTCAGCTACGTTCCAGGTCAGCAACTGTATAGAGTTTCTGGAGGCAAGGTGGTCTGGCTTGGTTGGTTGGCTAGATGATAAAAATGCTGGATGTCACCTTGACGTTGGAGCAGGGTCGATATCAACTGTGCTTCCCATATAAACACAGTTATTGTGAGGTTTGATACTTCTCCTTGTGGGTTGCAGAACTTGTTGCTCCTCTTTATCTTGATTGCCAGTGCTTCTGCCCTTGCTCCAAGAATGAATTTTTTTTCAGATGAGCAGGTACTCTGGCTTTCCCTCTCCTTATCTAGTTGTTCTACTGGATGGTCAATTTGGACGTACTACCAAGTCCTGATGGATTTCTCTTTTCTTCTCTTTTTCTTTTGGACTAGTATGCCTTCTCTTTTTATTTATGAAGCTTGAGTGCTTTCAGAAGCCGGTCTTGATAGCAATTCCATGGAGCAGCTGCCAGAAGGAAGCAAAACGTTCAAGCTTTCTGTTGCACCAGCTGCTGACATCAACATTAGACCAACTACCTCAATCTTCTCCAGTATCATCTCTTGGTCTTCTGGGCAGAGGGTAGAAAACTGGTGGACCAGTTCCTTCTCATCATCAATAAACTGAAGCTTTCCATTATGTAGGTTTAGAAATTCTTTATCTTATCTTTTCCTAATCTTGTTAGTTGAGGGCTTGTTTGTTTGGCCGTTGGTATTTTGGCATTCCCAAGATTAGTATCGACCTCCCTCACTGTCTTGGCTCTCTGCCCAGACTTTAACAGGGATTGAATTTGGGTGGTGTGAAATACCCGTCTTGGCCAAATACAGAGTTTCTTTAGTGAGGTCTCAAGCCTGAGTAACATCGATGGTAATACAATCTTCCCAAAGGTTAGCAATATACTTTTGCAACCATGTCTGTCGGGGAGCCAAGAAATCTCTATTAGCTCGTCAGACTATACCCTACAGCGTAAGAGTTGGGATAGAGAAATCGGAACCACTCTTCTGTTGTGTCACCTGCCCCTATTCAGAGGGGTGTTAGCAACCTGGAGTAAAATCCTGTGCCTCTGCAAAACCAGCCTCTCCACCGCATCCTCTTTGCCCTGACACCCGCAGTCCACACAGGCTGGCCTAACATCATGGGTAAGCTTTGGAATATGAGTTTTGCTGTTTACTTCTTCAGCTGTCTTATTAATATGTTTTCTCATTAAAGACTTTAATTCTTTAATCCCTCCATTCGCTTCCAGGAG